TTTCATGTCATTAGCACCTCTAGTAATATATTTACTGAGAAAAATGGTGACGTGTTCAATACTTATTTTACCCGCTGTAGGTGGAAAAACATTTTCAAATCATGTATGTGGTTACATTTGTTTTACACAAACGTCCCACTTTACGTTCAGTCTTTAGATGCATCTTAAATCCCTGACTCTTTGGGAGTCAGGTTTGAACAATCACATCAACCGTTTCATCAGTTCACCTGATAAAAGAGTTTACTTTCATGTTTTATCAGCTTGTGTCCTTCTTTATTCTCCTACTTAAAAGCTTTAGAGGTGGTGAAATGTCTTTGAAACATCACACTTTGAGCTGCACCTTTGGGCGAACCGCAATCGCATTTCCTCTGCAATCTACCCCCCCCCCCCCCCACATTAACTGAGTGGAAAGTTTCACACTCACATTTAAACTTGGTCCCTCTGTAACCACATCCACCCTCACACCTCTGACACCTACGTGCTTGTTTCTTGTCTTGGTAAAGGCTGCAGCAGACAGCTGTGAGGGTTAGAAGCCCCTCTCACCTGCAGCCGTAGAGTTTCTCTCCCATCGTCCCCTCCTGAGAAGAACCTGCTCAACCATGAGGTCCGCTCACCTCCTCCTGCTCAGCATCCTGGGAGCTGCACTGATCTCCACGGCTCTCTGCAGGAGTAAGATCAACTTTGCTTTATCAACTTTATTTTTTTTTTTAGAAAGAAGCGATGCTTCTCACATTCTTTATTGATCTTCCTTTCAGTGTCATTGGGTCCTGAATCTTGTTGCTTTAACTTTTGTGAGATGAGGATCAAGAAAAGTTTGGTCAAATCCTTTTTCATGACGAATTCTCACTGCGCAAAGGAGGCAGCTGTGTAAGTCCAGCTCACTGCGTTTGTTTGTCTCAGCAGGTTTTCTCTCTGCTTTACTGCTGTTAAGTTAATTTCTTACTTTAAGGGAACAAAGCCCGTAACCTTCACACCTTTCTTGTTACAGTTTCATCACAGYTAAAGGCCGTCGTATCTGTGTTAAACCAGAACGTCCTTGGGTTAAGAGTATCATCTCTGAACTGGAGCAGTCCTCCTTCTAAAGGAGCCTTCATCTTCATCTTCATCTTCATCACAAACACAAGTCTGAGTGACCTGCAGTAATGTGCTGATTATTCTCATGTCACTGCTGATGTCAATAATAAGTTTGAGTCTTTAATTTGTTTTTAATGTTTCTGGAAGCTTTGTATCATCCTACATTACTGTTCTTTATTGTGTATTTTATTATTCTTAAATGTCTCACAGTTGTTTTTACTTTTACTGTAGATCTGGTGTTATTTACTGATTATTACCAGCATTAAGGATGATATAGTAAAAGTGAGGGATAACATTTAACTTGTGTTTTTTCCCTTCTTCTG